TAATATATAATATATAATATATAATATATAATATATAATATATAATATATAATATCAGGCCTGCCAGATCTTTCTCCCGATTTATCAATCAATATATATTTATATAATATTTTTGGGAAAATCAGTAGAGGATGTCAACAGTAATTTAGTCGCTACATTTCTAGCTCTGACTGTAGATGCAGATATGTACTCGGTTGCCACGCCCCAACGGGCTTCAGCATATATTCCAAATTTAAACTTCCCTAAATTCCACTTCAACTACCATGGTATACCTGATATACCGAAAAATAGATTATCCAATTAGCTATGTCCCTTGTCCACTTTATACTAAAAGGGTATACACGAATCTGTTCTAAAATTCAAGTCTCTAGCCGACGGACAGACGGACATTGCACAAAACCAATAAACTCATTTCACTTTCGTGAATGAGTATAAACAAGAATTTGCTGTACAACAAAACAGCTGCCAAATGTAATAGAGTGCAATGGTTATGATTAGAGTGTATCTTTTTAATAGTTATATCATATGAAAATCTCGTCTAACAGCACAAGAAATCTTTCAAAATGCAAATACACAAAAAAATTTACAAACTCGATACACATACATATAGACCTATTAATACAATAAGCTACCTTAATGAAACTTTGAATATATTTTATACGTTGCGCATCAAAGCCTAAAATTGTGTTGATCTTTTCAAAGACAAGAACGATTTTATGATGCCTCAAACTAGACTGGGACTTCAAAAATTGGCCAAATATATATTCTATTTGGTTTTTGAAAAATAAAATTATTAGTTACAATATTTGGAATAAAGAAATTCATCTACATGTACGCGATTCCAATTAGAAATCTATTATCTAAGTACCTAAGATCTGCATAGACTGAATATCTGGGATGCGATTATGGTAATATATAGTTATATGTTTTTGGATCGCTAAACACTGATCTCTAATCTTGACAAATTATAGAATATAGTTAGTGCTCGGTACAATAATCTATCGGAATATATACAGATCTGTTCATTGTATTGTTGCATTGCACAATACCATTCCGATGAAAAACTAAAAGATAATAGTATAATAGTATATTTAGTGTAATAGTATATTTAGGGAAATGTTAAAATAAATGTAAGTAATTAATATATTTAAATATATATGTGAGCAATTGAAATAATATGTATATAATCACATGTAGCTCTGATAGGTTTAGACTGATTACAAAATTTAAATTTAATCAACTACAATAAATTAAATATAGTATATATTGGGTCAAAAGAAAAAGTATATATATGTTATCTTATTAGGATGCGCTTTATAAATTTAATTGAATGATAGATATCACGATTTAGATATAACAACTTTGAGCTCTAAGGATCTACAAAGTGTAAGCATTTTTTCTTCTTCTTCTACATTATTAATATTTAATATTATATTAGAGATTCTGAAAGCGTAGCAACAATTCTTTGTCATCTCCCTGGTAACTGTTTTATCATGTATACAAAATACGTATGTGTATATGTATGTATGTATGCATAAAAAGATTTTTTATGCTTGTTTACGTTCATTAGCGCCGACCGAATAATAAGCTAAACAAATTGGAAAAATTTGTCGCTGCGCTGAGCAAGCAAAGACGTTAACATTTATAATCAATTAATTGGGCAAATATTTGCTACAAAACAAAAACAACAACAACAACAACAACAACAAAAGCCCTAACAGCAGCTGTTGGGCTTAAAGCCAAAGTCTAGTGGAGCAACAATTTCCGCTTTACAATAGGACAAACACGGACGCGCACTATCTATATACATGTATATATAGTATATATGTATATACATATATATAGCTGTATGTCTGTAATATGTATACATAGGTATAGACAAACATGTTTGCAAGCACCTACGGGCGTTAATTGATAGTCTGTCAATATATCAATTGCGTGCGTCCACTTAGTTAACATCAAAATTTAATTCCAAATATAGATTTCAGCGCGTCCAGTCTGATGGATTAGGCCATATCGCACAAGCATCAATATTTGAAACGGTATTTACAACAACAGCAAGACAAACACTTGTTGCTTGTTCTCTTCAATTTGTATTTTATTTAATTTTTTTCCTTATCACTTTGCGTTTGCTCTGCACACGGATTTTGTCTGCTAGCCTAATTATACGCGCTGATAAGGAAGCAGCAAACAAATACACTCACACTCACAGAAGCAGACACATACACACTCATGTATGCAACTACATACAGGCAAATATTTGATCAATAAAGTCAAAAGAAATGCACAGCGCGCGCCTCCGTCTGACTCACTGCTGCAATTCTGGAAATGAAAGCAGCGGACGGCAGTTAGCGCTGCCCGAAAGACAGCGCCTGCGTCGCAGAGTGCTGATAAGTCCCGTTGCTGCTGTTGCTGTTGTTTTTGTTGTTGCTATTGATGATGATGAAAGCGCTGATGCTGTTGATGCTGGTGTAAGGCAACTGCGTCTGCGTTTTGCGTGATTGAGTCAGTAAAAACTGGTCGATCAATTAATGGAGAGCGCATCACGAGATTAGCTTTGACAACATTGTTTTTCAATTACATAAATATTACACACATATGTAGAATGCACCACGGGGCCACTGTTTACATACAAACGTTGGCTGGCTGCTGATGCTTGCAGCGCTGCTGCTACTGCTGCTGCTGTTGCTGTTGCTGGTGCTGCCCCTCTCTCTTCTGTGCTGCTATTGTTATTATTTCGTCTTATTTGAGGCAGCAGGAGTTGCTCGTTATATGCATATATTAGCTGGCGTGCATTTAAGCCAAGATCTAATCATTACTAATTAATAACATTAAAGAATTGGTTAAGTACACTTTATCACAGAATAGCGCGCACGGAACAACAAAGAACAAAAAGCAAACGAAACAAAGTACCAGGGCGCTATCGCTACACAATGCTAATCGGAAAATTGATAATGCGCGCTCGTCACTCGCCGACTATCGATAAGTACTCATACAATCATTATGATAATACTGGTACAGATGCTCAATTGCTAAATGCAAAATGAATATAAAAAAACACAGATATAAATATTTATGTGAGTACATATTAAATGCTTGATTTAAATCATGCTTCTGAGCAAGTCGCGGGTATCGGTACTTTTGGTGCGATACTCTGCATTCGCGGCTATCGATACTTTGGCCACTTCTTGTGTTAGTTCTTGGATATCGCAAGCGACGCTAGCTCGCAAGTGCCTCTCAGCTTTTTTTATACGCGAATAAATTGCAGTGAATTTCGCAAGCATAACACACGTGAAACTGCGCAGTTCTAAGCCGCTCCAAATGAGTGCGAACCTCAAGAATCTAAAGATGAGCCATTTCGGCGCTGCTGGCTTTGGCATCTCAGCTGGCAAGTTGCTTGCAAACAATAACACCAACGGCAATAGCGGTGCAGGCTGCGGAGTGAGTGGTAGTGGGGGTGTGGGTGGAAGCGGAGGAGGTGCGGGCGCTGGCAGCAGCAAGTCAGCGTCCCATGTGGTGGCCGATACGGACATCTTTGTGACGCCGAGTGGTACGGTAATACCACTAATACGGAGCAGGGATGTGCCGAAGCAGCTGCCAACGATTGCTGCCGCGTTGCAGCGGCCAGCGGACGAGCACTTGGCTGCCGAGGACCTAGATGCGGTGCAGCTGGAGCTGGAGCTGATGCTCTCAAATGTGGCCTTGCGTACGCGCGTACTAAAAGCGGAATACGATAGCCTGGACAAGGACGAGAAGCGTCAGGATCGTCGAAAATTGGAACGCGCGCCGCCTGGCTCACCGCCCACAACGCTGGGCATGCTCAATGGCCTGCTGGGATTGGGCAGCAACAGTGGCGGAGGCAGCAGCAGCGGCGTCGGCAGCCCAGCGACAGCAACGGCCAACAGCAGCTCGAAGAGAAAACTGCGTGATGAGCCGACGGGTGTGCGCAAAAAACAATCCTCCATGACGATACTCAAGCAGCAGCAGATGGCGGGCTCCAAGCACATGGCCAAGAACAGTCCCCTGGCCACGCACACGGACGACAGCATGGACTACATTCCGACTATGCCCGCCATCAACCATCAACAGCAGCAGCAGCAGGCGCAACAGCAACAGATTCTACCAAAGGTGGCGATGCCTAAAAACGACATGCCAAATAAGTTTTGGCTATCCGTTGAGCCTTATTGCATGCCACTGACCAACGAGGATCTGCGACTGATTGACGATCTGCTGGAGCAGTATCGGGGACCGTTGGTGCCGCCGGTGCCGCCGCTGGGGCCCCACTACTCCACGGTGTGGGCACAGGAGGACATGAAGGCCTTGCAGCCGGGAGGGGCGCGCCAAAAGTCACAGAATGCGACGGCCATGCTGAAGAAGGCCGAGGGCATGCTGGAGGAGGGCATAACGGGCCCACTGACCCAGAGACTCGTCTCGGCGCTGATGGACGAATCACTGCCCAGCGAGCAGGCGGCGGTGGGGGAGCACAGCAACAGCAGCAGCAACGAGAACACCCACTCTTCATCCACGAGCAATGCGGCGGCCGCCTCTGGCAATTTCCGCTCCCTGGCCATGCTCAAGCACGGCGTTGGCATTGAGCAGCGGCTGAAAAAGGAGCTGATGGACAGCGGACTGATCGACGCGAATGAGCTGGGCGCCCACGAGGATGTGGATGAGGTGCTGCTCGAAATCAAACGGGTCACCGCCGAGATCAATACGGTGGCTCAGTTCAATAGCGACGAGCTGCAGCGCCTGCGCGCCGGCGCCAGCGAGGAGATCAAGCGCATCGAACTGAAGCGAAAACTGGACAGCATCGACCAGGAGATCCTCGAGTGCTACAAGCGAACGCAGCAGTACCGGGCCAAGCGCAAGGTCCACACGAACGAGGAGAAGCAGGAAATACTCCGACTGATCAGCGAGCAGCGGACCGTGGCCGACCAGCTGGAGCGCATGCAGCTGATGAGCGGGGACGGCGATGGCAAGTTGTAGGACAGGAGCTTGGCCTGGAGCTGGCGTCAGTTAATGGCGCTGCATCGGGCGGCAATGCTGCTGCAGCAGTGGGAACGTCATAGTATTTGGAACGACATTAGCTTCCAATTGCAATGTGTATAAAGGAGAGAGGAGGGCCACTGGAAAGTCGGAATATCGGTAAATCGGGCAATAGAACAGACGTGAATGTCGAGAGAATCTAATCAAATTTCGTCGCTGCTTAACTCGCCAGTTTGTAAATTAGCAAACCAAACACACACACACATATATATACACAATACACATCCACACACATTCATACACACACACACACATACAATATATATATAGCTCGTACATACAATTTTTATATAGCTTAAGTTAATTGTGCCAGGCAATAAACGATTGTCGCTGTCACCCAAAGTGCGCATCCGCATCCGTCAGTGTTATTCCGGATCTCTATTTTCCCCGTCTTCCGTTTCCCGTTCTTATGGGCTCTTTAGCGGCACACCACATTCGACATTCGACCCGCACGGCACAAGCGTTCGATGCGCTTTAAAAACGTCGCGAGTCGCCCGGCTTGGCAGGTTGGCAGCTGCAGCTGGCGGGGCCGAGCACGGCGGATCCCCATTTATTTGCCCGTTGATAAGACGCCTGGAGTTTTTGCCTAATTAAAATTAAACACGGAAAATACATAAATTATCTATCTATAACGGCCGACTCTGACACCGACAGCCAAATACGCTGCTCAGATAGCCCCTATCTATTCGTATCTTGCGCTTAGATAAGTCGATGTCACTTGATATATGGCTGCGAGTTTATCTGCTCACCTATCGGGCAAGCGTCTATTGGGCCCCATTGATTCTACGCACAGACGCAACGCCTACATACATGAGATTTATATAATATATGGCCAGCTCTACTGGATATTTCAATCGACTCTTCCCTGTTCCCCCAAGAGTAACAGAATCTTTCGAGGCGAACTCGAAGGGAACCTGGAAGCATAATCCAAAGCATCTCTCTCATTATCTTACACCGTTTTATCAGCTTACATTGTACAAGGTTTATTGCATATAAATCTGTGATGTCTATTTAAGAACCTATTTGAATATCTATACGTATGACTATTAACTCGTGAATGGTCGATATATATACATATATGTATATGTATAAGTTGTACTTCGTGTTGTCAGCGGTGCAGTGGCTCAGTCCACACTCCTATCACAATCGCATTCCTCGACTCGTGTCCTAAACGCTCCTGGGCTAGGATGACGAGGACAATGCTTCGAACTGTGATCGATAGTCGTGGAGCAAATCGGAACGGCAGGAGACTTGTATAGCTGAGGCATTGGCCTTGAGGCGCAAATTGTTGTCGTTGGTCAGCAGCATCAGGTGCGGCACCTGCGACTGCAGCTGCAGGCAGCAGTTCACAATGCTGTCATCCGGGCAGTCCACCTCGATCAAATGGGTCGCTTCCTCCAGCGCAGATTGGGCTGCATCAATTACAATATAATTTAAATTGGATTGGCAACTCTCATTAATGAAATCATATCTACGAACCTTGAATTTTGAGACTCTCGTCAAACTTCTTGTTCAGATAGTGGATCGCTCGTATGGCCGATTTGCGATTGCGATCGTTATCGCTGCGCCTGTCCTTGAGCTTGTCCAGCTCCTTGATGACTATATATGGTATGTACAGCATGCTGCCCTTTGTCTCGCCCAGTGTCACACGGCACAGATCCTCCACAAAGTCAAGGTTATCCATGAGCACATTCGTATCCAGCACAAAGTACATATAGTCGACACAGCGTGCGGGCAGCTCCTGTCCAGTACACAATAGTCTTTGTAGCGTTAGATCCGATATACTTTCCGGTTGACTCCGATTCTTCTTCACACTTAGATCGAGCTGTGGAAGAGGATGCACCATATAAATTGTATTGGATCTAAAATTGTCAGGAATACGATTATAGCCCAATGCCCAATATATCCGTGAGATCCACTTGGATATTTTCTTATCATGAAGACAATACTGATGGGGAACCGATCCCGTACTACATATCGATCATTCGGATGTTTCTTATTAATGATATACGATATGTTATTGGATGGAGACAAGTCGATATCTACGGAACGCGTACCTGTTTACTGTCTGTTTACTCGCGGGTTAGTTACGAGCACACCTTCCAAATTGCAAACACACGAGAAAAAGGATATCCCGATCTGCCACGCCTTCGCATCTAGAATATCTTATTTATATGTGTATTCCTAATTTCAATTCTTTAAGTGGATATTATGGAAAACCAAGATGCTTATCTCTATAAAAGTATATAAAAGTGCGTGGTCTAGTCGAGACTCGATTTGCCAAGAGCACATATTCCCATCATTCTCTTATGTTCCCATAATAACGGAAGCTTTTACAAGACTTCCATAGACGCGATCCTCCACTTGAACCTTTAGCTTTTCGTAACCGTCCATGCGAAATGTATGGAAAAGAACGAAAGCTCTATATAAAACAATTGCAAACGTCCAATCGGAACCACTTCTCGACATCATATCGCTGTATTCCCGATAAGGAGGTAGCATAGACTGTTTGGCGGCTAGTTGCTTAAGTGAGTCCTGGCTCAGAGGGACCTACATGGGAGCTGACCATCTCTTTCGAGTTATTTCTCGAACATTCCCTCAGGAGGCTGACCGCATCCTCCATGGCTACCCGACACGGCTCTTGCAGTCTGCTTTCCACATTTGAGGTACAAATAATGTTTAGGTTACCCAAAAATCAGCTCTGTTGGTTTGTTTAATACCAACAGTTCAATGATTCATGGGAACCCTATAATTTCCGAATAACAGTACACTGTCAAGTTAACCGTAAACTTTGCTATAAACTACTTTTACAGTCCTAATCGCCATAATGCTACGTCATCGTATATCGATACAATTAATATATAAACATAGTATTACAATACGTACTATTGTGCAGCTGCTGTCCTGCTGCTCTTCCTTTTGCTCTTCCGCCTCCTCTTCCGGGAAGTCTAAGTCCATGGGTTCCACATCGTCTTTAGGAGTTGATAAAGCGATCTCCTCATCATTCTTTGTGACTGTTGCAGCTGGCAGCTTGTTGCTCTGTGTGTTGCAATTATTGCTCGCCTCTCGTTGCTGCTGCTGCAGAGTCTCGCGCAGCATTAAAAGGCGTTGGTTGGCTTGGGATAGTAAGGCTTATTAACAAATTCACGTCTATATATGTCATCTCAAAAAATTACCACTTGTGGAGGGATTGTTTTCCAGTCTATTGCTAGCATCAAACAGCGCCTTGGGCTTTGCCCAGGCATCTGCGATGGGAGTGCGTGATCTCGGATTCCATCTACGATTTGGCAGTTGCTGTTTCGTCACATTCAGTGGGATCTGGACTTTGCACATTGTGTGAAGTGTGGCAGTGGTGCTTGGGCTATCTGAATTGATGCTGACGTTGTTACAGCTGCTTCTGGTGCTTCTCTTGGCCACGCCTCGTTCTTTGTCAACTTTTCGGTCTCTCAATTGCTTTAAACTCAGTTGCAGACGTTTTAGCCTATCTTGGGCAGGCTGAGCCGAGTTCCCTGCTAGGGGAATAGGACAAACAAACCTATTAACAATGGTTCTTACATACAATTATCTATAAATACACAGGGAGTACTTTGCTGCCGACGAAGACATAAGATGAGTTTGCTTTGGGCGTCGCAATCAATTGGTTTGTTAATTCTATTTTTCGGATTTCCTTCTTCCATAGCTCGCCTTGCAGCCTAAAGCACGGTACAGACTAACCATACGATTTATTTAACAACAGCAAATAAAATAAAAATAAAAACAATGAAATCAGCTGATTTATTACTATCCTAGTCTATCAACAGGTATCGATAGCTTAATACTAAAGGCTAAAAAAAGATTTATAGTTCTAAGGTGCGCTTGTTTTTGATTGACTCATATTTCTTGAATTTTGTAGAATTATATATGTATATTTGAGCAAATATTCAAGAATTTCATTAGACAATTATAATGCCATTACCTGTAATCGATTATCTGTGAATAGTAATTCGAATGAATTGGTATGTATTCCCTCAACTATCGTTGAGCTTCCTGACCGATGTATAGATTGCATTATAGTCCAGCCCTGGAAACTGCCAAAGCAGCAACCGGTGTTTTTCCAATAGAGCCGTTGTCGTCAGCCAGTCAGTCTTCCAGATTACTCTGCAGTTGTTTAACCAGTTGATTTAAATTTTTCACAAATTCATTAAATATGATCAAGGTAAGCATCGTACATAATATGTGCAAAACAAAAAAAAAAGAAGAGATACACTGAACAAATCGTCCAGCCTTTACCAGATTTAGATTAAACTTCTCTCTGGCAATTGAGTACAAAGTCCAATTGGGACAACCATTGTCTGCTAAGAATAACTGTATGTATGTGTGCCATGTACAGTGTACCTTGTACCTAAAGATCTGATGCGCCGCCTTATCGTTACACAATGATTAAAAATAATTCAAAAAGATTCCATTATCTGTCAAATGTAACGCCAATTATGAATATCTTTGGTAGAACGTTGTCTCCCTGGTGACTGGTGGCGCCTCTGGCCTAGGCAGGGCCACAGCCGAGCGACTGGCCAAGCAGGGCGCCAGCGTTGTGCTCGCTGATCTGCCATCCTCTAAGGGCAATGATGTGGCCAAGGAGCTGGGCGACAAGGTGGTCTTTGTGCCCGTCGATGTCACCTCCGAGCAGGACGTGAGCGCCGCTCTCCAGACGGCCAAGGACAAGTTCGGGCGTCTCGATTTAACGGTCAACTGTGCGGGCACCGCAACCGCCGTGAAGACCTACAACTTCAATAAGAACGTGGCTCATCGCCTGGAGGACTTCCAGCGGGTGATCAACATCAACACGGTGGGCACCTTCAATGTGATTCGTCTGTCCGCCGGCCTTATGGGCGCCAATGCACCCAACCAGGATGGCCAACGCGGCGTCATTGTGAACACCGCCTCGGTGGCTGCCTTTGATGGGCAGATTGGTCAGGCAGCCTACTCTGCCTCGAAGGCGGCCGTTGTGGGCATGACCTTGCCCATTGCCCGCGACCTGAGCACCCAGGGAATTCGCATTTGCACGATCGCCCCGGGTCTCTTCAACACCCCGATGCTGGCTGCGCTGCCGGAGAAGGTGCGCACTTTCCTGGCCAAGTCCATACCGTTTCCGCAGCGTCTGGGCGATCCCAGCGAGTACGCCCAGTTGGTGCAGGCGATCTACGAGAATCCGTTGCTCAATGGCGAGGTCATCCGCCTGGACGGTGCCTTGCGCATGATGCCCTAAAATAGAGCTGTCACTCTCAAATCAGTCTTGCATTTATAGCAGTCACTGTGTGTTTTTTTTTTTTCTCTGTTCTTCTCTTAGTCAATAAGCAATAAGTTGCCAATTTTAAATTGTGCTAAATAAATATTGTCAGATTTTCAAAATTAAACTAAACTTATATCGATAGTCTTCGCAATGTTTATCTGAAAGATGTAGCATATATATCGATAGCATACAGTGCATATAAAGTGTTACCAAAAAAAAACGCTGCTTAGCATTTTTGCCATTTGCCGGCGCTGGTCACACTGGGGACGACGCTGAGACGACGTCGGAGTTTTGGACGAATGAAATAATGCTGAAATTGAAAGCAGCAGCCGAAAAACAATTGCAATGTGTGCAAATGCAAGCAATCAATATGTGTTTATTAACAAAGTGCGTGTGTTAAGCAAAAAGTGCGATCTGTAGGCGTAGCAGTGCAATCGCAACAAGGCAAGAGAGAGCGCCAGTGCCCACAGCCAAGGCAAGTGCAATGAAAATTGTATGCGCCGTGGAATTGTAATGAATGCTAATGCATTTGGCATGTGTATGTGTGAGTGAGTGTGCGACACTCGTATAAAAAGTAAAAAAGTGTGCATGTGTGTGTGCTTTAGTGTCTGCCTGTGTGTACGCGAGAGCCAGGAGAGCAATAATTAAATTAAGCTAAGGTGTTACGTTCATGTGAGTTGGTGTTGCTGCTGCTGCGTCGCTGTCAGCGTGTGTGTGTGAGCGCGCGTGTGTGCGTGCGCCCAGTTGTGTATATACAAAGTGACAAAAAATTCTAATAAGAATATTTGTTATCACTATCGCCTTCTCGCTCCAGCATGCGTTCGCCAAAATAATATATGTGCATATATATGTATTTATTTATTTTATATATATGCATGTATTGCGATAGCGCTTGACTGGATGCAACGCATTTTAATAGCGGCATTCTGTTATAAAAAAAATTACTACACCGCACGAGTTACTACGAAAACGACGACAACGACGGCAACGACGAGGATGCCGTTAACGTTGGCAGCGGCAGCGCAGTAGCGTCAAATTTTCCGGCTATTCCTTTTGGCTGATGCTGCTGGGCGGTGCTGTGCCTGTGTTCGTATGCATATACATACATATATTGGTATATATTTATATATATATACATATATATTTGCGTTTGTGTATGTGCGTACTACACACAACGCAGTATTTTACGCACTCAAAGGCTTTAGCATATATGTATGTATGTCTATCTACATATGTGAGTGTGTGTGTGCATTTTGAAACTGCTAGAAATGGAGAAAAAACGTAGCAAATATCTACGCCCAAAATCTACTACTAAATTGACAACAATTTCTGCGCACAAGCGAATGCTGTGCGAAATGCTTTGGCAGAGGGGGAGGCGCGGCCGTTTGTGTGGGCGGGTGGCTGGGCGCACGGGCGCACGCAACTGTCATTGACCTTCAATTCGGTGCAGCATTCGTTGTTGTGCAGCAGCAGCAACGACGCCGCACCCAAAGGTCATGTGATGTGTGCGGCGCGATGTGTGTCATCAATTAGTCAATTTATCAATTCATCAAGCGTTAATTGGCAATACATTGAAAAGGCATGTAGTGCGAGCCGTTAGCCGAGGCGGCCTTATCATAACGTATGCACAAACGAATCCGGAGTGAAACCGAAAATTGCTCCAGCTTTGATTTGCAGACGAAGCCAATCAATCCATCAATCAATCAGATGATTGACAGCGCTCAATCGAGCGCCGGCAAGTGTGTGTGTGCCCAATGCGAAAGGCTGTTTGAGGAGTTTTAGAATTGAGCTAAGCAAGCTAAGACTGAGTGAAGTATTCATCGGAATTATTAGAGAACAACAAATTGTCATACGATTTGAATTCAATTAGTGTTCCTGTTATAGATTGCAAAAGCAAACGGAATAAAAGTGGAGAACATCAGCTCTTAATCAGATTTAATTGCAATTTCCATTTGAGTCACACGAGGAGCGAATCATACGAAAAGTTTGTCTTCTCTTTTGGCTCTGCTCAAAGCAATCAATCAATCAGTCAATTAATTAACTAATTTACTCTACCTCTACCTTGCAGCACACACACACACACACACTTACCCACACACACGCAGCACACACATACACACACACACACACTGAACATGGAATCGTCCATTAAGCTTAAGGAGTGCAACAACTCGAATGGTAATCCAAATCAGAGCCTCAATCAGAGCCAACTGTGCAATGGGAACAGCAACTGCACCACCGGCAATGGTGGTGGCGTGACCGTTAGCATTTGCAGCAGCGACAGCTTTAGCAGCATGATGCCACCGCCCGCAACGACGCGCGACCACGAGCTGGTCAGCGCGAACAGCATCGAGCTGAATGCGGCCGCCTCGCTGAGCGATGACAGCGGCGTCCCATTGACCACCAACAGCTCCATATCCAGCGGCGACTCGTATCGCATAGGCATGTGCAAGTTCGAGATCGAGGTGAGTGCGCAATGAGTTGCCTGCGGGCCCATTCCCACCTAACCCAATTAACCGTTTCGTTTCGATTCACTTGCAGATGGTGGAGAGCGACGGCGAGGTGTCGCAGTTCGATTCGCTGGACAACTGCTCGGAGGGCGGCATGAGCGCGGAGAACTTCAACACGCTTAAGAAGGGGCCGCTGGCGCCGATCGATCCGCCGCCCGAGTTCCAGGACTCGCCGCAAACGACGCTCGTGCGCTCCATCTCGAAGAACATTGTGAACAGCCTGCGCCGCTGGACCTCGTCGCAGTCGTCGTTCGAGCACCTCAAGGACGACGTGACCATGGTCAGCGCTGCGGTGGCCAGCGGGGCCACAGGTGCCAACCAGGAGCTGGTCCTGCTGCTGGCCAAACCGACCCTGGATGCCAGCGGGACTAGCAGCAGCAGCAGCTGCAAGCTGTCCGTCAGCGACGCGGCCTCTGCTGCCGCAGCTGCAGCGGCGGCGACGGCGGCGGCTGCTGCTGCTGTTGCCGCCAGCCACTCGATCCAGCCGTGCGCTGCGCTGTGCCAGGAGCGCACGCTCAAGGAGTCGTATGCCATCAACAAGCATCTCTACTCGAGCGACTCCATACTGAACAGCCACACGGACAACATATACGACGAACCAAATAATATTATAAGCAGCTCGCTGGGCAACAGCATAGATCTGCTCGACGACGACGAGGACGATGAGAACGACAATGATGAGGATGATGCTGATGCGGACGACGACGATGTGGAGGCTGCCTCGGAGCAGAGCAGCTGCTCGCCCTCGCTGCCGTCGCCACCGCCGCCCGTCTCGATAATCAAAATCAAGCAGACGCTGTGCCCCTACTACCAGGATCACACGCGCT